TAGCAAGCCTACCCGCCTGATGAAGATCCCGTATGGGATTGAAACGTAGCGGTTTTTATGCTTGCTATTTTAATTTTCTTTATTTTTTTATTTTTTTTATTTTAATAAAAGTACTTTTTTAGAACGAAACACTGTGGCGCATTTTACTCGGTAATTTTTAGCCCTCGCTGGGTGGACTTTTATGTTTTAATAAAGGTCTTAATAAAGGTTTTAACAGCCTTATTACCCGGACACAAAATGCCGCCTTACCTCATGGAAGAGGAACGGGACGAGCCCTGGACCACCATCCGATACCGGAGAGGACATGGGAACCGGCGAACCCAAGAACCCAGGACCTACGAGGACAGGAAAACCCCACAAAGCCGCGGACCGTATCGGCCCACATATGCAGCAGTCACGGCCGGAGCCTACCTGCGCCGTGACACACAGCGAAGCTGGAGCCGAGGCCGCGGTGGAGTGGAGCGCCTCCAACAGCAACATCCTCCCTACCGGGATAACAATTTTAATTCACTCGGGGAAAGAGGCAGAGGGGTGCACCCTGTAATTGAATGCGATGACCCTTATTTCACAGAGAAGGTGAGGATTATCAATGGAATCATAAAAGCAGTGCACCACAGCAATAATGTATGCGGCACTGAGGCACCGCCAACAATTCTCAAAATGACACGGGACCTTGTGCACTTTATTAAACCTGGCTCCCCCACCAACCGGACCCTGCTGTTATCTGCTGGTAATCCCAGATATTGGCAGATGAACACACTACTCATCCTCCTTCTTTAGTGCACAAATCAAACTGCTCCTCTGAAGGATAATCAAAGAACTTCCCAATATTCATGTTAACATGATGTGTGAAAATCAATTCAACCGTAAAGTGTAGTGTATTCCAGTATACAAAAATGGGAATAAACAGGAAACGAGTGTGCCCCTCTAACTGCTTCAACCATAAACTAACTACCTAAGCTCACCCTAGTCTTCATGCAGTTACTGATGGTGGGTAGTTATGCACTAAAGCCCAGTGGCCAGGGAAGGCAACCAAAATCTGGCGACCCACCCTAAACCATGGATGTGCTCCCGAGACAAGGTGCTCTAACCACGGTCACCGCAACATTAACAAAACAAATAAGACGAAACCTAAAGAGGTAACGCCACTGAACCTAACAGGGCAACACCCGATCACATCAATTAAATATACCCACCAGACCACACTTACCTTGATTTCCAGTTCAACACACAAGGAAAAACCAAACCTCTCACTGCCTGCCCAAAACAAATTTTAACCACAGTCAACCAACTACCACACACAAGAGAAACTATGCATGCAGGCCAAGTCACAGAGAATCCTCCCTGAGAAACTCTCACAAAGACAAGTGACAACGTATGACCACAACTTCTTTCAAACAATTGGCCTTGTACCAAACTGTGCTAACAACAAGCTACCAGGCCTACCCCTGCAGCAAAACCAAATTAGCAGCAAATACTTACAAACGCCATAGAAAAAGAGACCAAAGGAACGGACGAGCCTCCAGTTTTGTCATCATGAACCGGCTGTAAAGCCATGACAAAACAAAAGGGGAGACACGGGTTGAAGGCCGAAATAACAGTAATTTATTGTAAAGAACCAACAAAACCATGAGGCAGTCTGGAACAATGAGTGAAGCATGTCAGAGTGGGGGAGGGAAGTGAGCCAAGGCCTCTTTTAAGTCCCTCCCTACAGCCTCTCCAGGTGTGCTGCATCCAACAACGAGGCTGCAGCTCCACCCCCCAGGCTCCTGCAACCAAAGATAACAGCCTCCCAGCACACAAGCCAAAGCCAACCCTGGAGGCCGCCACACCACAATTCATTAAAAACATATACAAAAATAAAAATTTTACAAAATCACTAAAAAAATTACTAAATCCAAAAAGTAAAAAAAAAAAGGTACATTTCATTTTACGTATTGTTTCCCTTATTCAAACCCTCCTTTTGTTGTTTGTGCCTTTTTTTTTTAATAAATAAATTGATTAATTAAAAATTCAATGATTAAAAAATTCAAAATTCATTAAAACGTGGTGGATGGCTGGACACAGGTCCATAATGTAGCTGTAACACCTCCCAGGCCAAGCCACCAGCCTGGTTCCCATCCAGTGGTCCAGAGCCCTGACCTCTGAGCCCATGGCTGACAGCTACTGCCCACTGCTCTGACCGGAGCCAGACTGGAGCTGGACACTGGCCGCCTCTGAAATGTGGTCCAGAACCAGGATCAGCAGGGTCCAGACTCACCTTCATCATCCCAGCCGTACAGAACGGATCTCTGCGTCATCATGGGGATCACACCCATATTCTCCTGCTCAGTATCTCAGACTGGGAGGAGGACACCTGTTCTCGGACGCTTTGAGGTGGTTTTTCTGTTAGTGATAAGAAGCAACGCAGTCCAGCAGCAGAGGACCGGTGGTCTTTACCCTCGGCTGGTCCTCAATCAGGACACCAAGACTGCAACTGCCTTTGATGGAGCAGATATTCAGTTCGGATGTGAATCCTGAGGCTGGTTTTGCTGGAAAGATGAGTGTCCAGAGGGTCCAGATGGTCCAAAAGGTCCAGGGTGCTCCGGAACGCACCGGAGCAGGCGGCCCCCCACCCCCACGTTTGAAAGAACCCAGAAAGCACAAAACCCAGGATGATTTAAACCATTTATTCAGAAAACAGAGCAGCTTGTGGTCCCAGCAGGACTCCTGGCCCGGTTCTGGTCCGGTTCTGCAGGCTCTCAGAAGTAGCCTGTGGGGTCTCTCTTGTGGCTCATCTGCAGGTGGGAGGTGATTCCCGGGTACAGCATGGGCAGCATGGTCCCGACCCGCTGCCCCCCCCACCGGCCCGGAGCTCCGGTCCGGACTCACGTAGAACAGCCTGAAGCACAGACCTGCAGGGAGAGGCACGAGCTGTGGGTCATAACCGTGGAGGGCCAGAACGAGGCTGGAACCGAGCAAAAACTGGGACAGAACCAAGCCAGAACTGGGCCAGAACCAGGCTGGAACCGAGCCAGAACTGGGACAGAACCGGGCGGCGGGGCCTGGACCCCCCCTCTCCTCTCAGGTTGGTTCCCGGGTCGAATGCGGCATTCTGGGGGTCGTTGTAGACAAGCAGCTTCCCGTGCAGCGTGGAGTCAAAAAGTAAAGGTCAGATTAAAAAAAGCAAAGTTCATATCAAGGTCAAACAAAAAAGTAAAGCTCATTTCAAGGTCAAACAAGTCAAGGTCATACAAAAAGTCACGGTTATTTCAAGGTCAAACAAAAAAAATCAAGGTCATTTCAAGGCCAAACAAAAAAAGGTCAAGGTCATTTCAAGGTCATACAAAAAAATCAAGGTCATACAAAAAATCCCAAGGTCATTTCTAGGTTAAAAAAAAAAAGGTCAAGGTAATGTCAAGGTCAAACCAAAAAGTCAAGGTCATACAAAAAATTTCAAGGTCATGAAAAAAGGGTCAAGGTAATTTCAAGGTCAAACCAAAAAGTCAAGGTCATACAAAAAATTCCAAGGTCATTTCAAGGTCATGCAAAAAAGTCAAGGTCATTTCAATGTCATTCAAAAAATTCCAAGGTCATGAAAAAAAGGTCAAGGTAATTTCAAGGTCAAACCAAAAAGTCAAGGTCATACAAAAAATTCCAAGGTCATGCAAAAAAGTCAAGGTCATTTCAAGGTCAAACCAAAAAGTTAAGGTCATTTCAAGGTTATACCAAAAAAAAGTCAAGGTCATTCCAAGGTCAAACAAAAAAGCCATGGTCATACAAAAAATATCAAGGTCACACAAAAAAAAAGCTCAAGGTCATTTCAAGGTCAAACCCAAAAGTCAAGGCCATACAAAAAAAAGCTGAAGGTCATTTCAAGGTCATGAAAAAAAGTCAAGGTCATATAAAAGAAATGTCAAGGTCATTTCAAGGTCAAACAAAAGTCAAGGTCATTTCAAGGTCATGCAAAAAAATAAATAAAGTCAAGGTCATACAAACAAGGTCATTTCAAGGTCATATAAAGGTTAGACCACGGTAATGTCAAGGTCAAGCAAAAAAAAATTCAAGGTCAGTCTAAGGTCATGTCAAGGTCAGACTCAGGTGAAGGTCAGACTTGTGCTGAGCTGTTGGACTC